CTCATCATTTAATGTCTAAGTGGCCCTTGTTGGTGAAAGTTCAGACAATGTTTGCAGCAAATCCAAGTCTCAGGCAGAAAGCAGTAAAGGCTTGCACTGCAGAACCTTCAATTTATTATTATTTTTTTAAACCAATCAACAAATATTGATTGACTAACCCTTCAGCTGTTTCCTCAAAGACAGTTTGGCCATTTTGATTCCATTCTCTTCATCTGTTAGTGTGTCATGGAGCAGTAACAGAATCTGTGACAACTTTTAGTGCTTTTTGTGGAGGGAAGGCTGTGTGGATGGTGTGTAATCCCACACATGCGTGGGAAGGCTGTGAGCGCTTGGGTGTGGCGGTCAGGAGCTTGGGCTCTGGAGTCAGATGGCCTGGTCTTCATCTCGGCTTTGGTGTGCACTGGCTGTGTGATTAGGAGCAAATTACTTAACCTCTAAACTTTACTTTCCTGGTCAGCACAATAGGGATAGTGTTAGTATCTGCTGGGGGTGGGGGTGAGAGAGGGGGGTGTAGGTGGTAGGGACAGTTGTGATTAAGATAAAGGAGGGATTTAAAGAACTTTGCTCTGTGGCTGGCTACTGAATACTGACAATGGCCAGCTATGACTATTTTCCTTTTACTCAGTGGTCCAGATTTCCTCTGCTCTTCTTGTATATTCACTTCTAGGACACAGGGAATTATACAGAAGCTTCTATAGGACCCTGTAGAGACTTTTAAATCAGACTGCCTTAAAGCTTTTGGAAGTGAATTATTCCAAGAAGGGTTGCAAAGGAAGTTAACTTTAACCCTAGTTTCCTGCCTGCCTTCCAGGCCATGTCTTTATTCTGTCCTTAAATGAAGCCTCTCCAACAGACAGATTGACAAGAGCACCGCCCGGGGCCTACTTCTGTTCCGTGGTGTGGTGAACCCACAAAGTCGCTTGCAACTTATCTCAGACATAATTCAGGCCTTGAAATGATCATTCAAATGTGCACATTTCAGGAACTGTTGGAGGAGAGAAACATCTCCAGCAAATACTGTGATACTTTCCCTCAGTCCGGGACTCCCTTGAAGGTTACAAAGGGGTGGTAAATCTGTAGGCTAATCACTTGGGATCCTCAAAGGCCCTCCTGGTTATCTTTGGCCCTGGTCCAGGTAAGCTAGTCTGCGTGTTCACAGCCCATTCAAGTGTCCCTAGAATACCACTGACCAATGGCCATCTTTATTTTTCAAAGTCACCAGATAAGGCAACTTCTCCAAACAACTTCAACAAGGCATTCCAGAAATGCTTGATCTCATACTTCTCTGCATGATGGTGCATAAATACAATTTTGATTTCATCTCAAAGTAATTAACCTGAACTTTCTCTTCTGGGATGTAAAGTAGAATAATGTTCTACAGCTTTTTGAATATTAGATTGGAAAGCAAATGCCCTAAACATTTTGTTTAATTAATTCCGAAAGAGGTGGTAAAAACTTTTCATGATTAATGGAAACATGTGTGTTTTAACTGAAGCATATGTATACGATACTACTGTATGAAAATTTTATGTTAGACAAACTATTTGCTTTGGGAATGTGAGTTAATGATGTGAATGTTTTTCATTTGTTGAATTGTTCTTTATGAAAAATACACAGGTTAATTAATGGCTGTAAGAGAAAATTTGTTATGTGAATCTGCTTTGAAGTAATCTCAAGTCTCTACCCAGCACAGACCTTTGGCGTAAATATAAGCTAGAAAATCAGGTTTTCCCTAGCTTGAAGAAATATTTTTTTGAATAAAAAAAAATTTTGTAAGCAGATCATGTTAGGAAAGCTAAAGTACTGGGGGCCTTCTATTTTGCCTATGCACAGAATTATAAAATGTAAGGCATGCACCTAATTCCCAGGTTTCAGGTCAAGTAAAAGATGTGGTTGTTGAACAAATCCCTTTGGCTTTGAGAACTTAAGAAAAGCTCTCTTTTCTAGGTGTATTCATACTGTTAAAATGGGGCATCATCTCATGTCTGTAGTAGAATTTTGAGCCATGTTTTAGCTAGCAAATTAGTTGAGGTAAGCACGGTTCTTCATTTCTTAGATATAATATTAACACAAATGACTTTTATAAGACTAGAATACCTGAGCTATCTGAAAATGGTTTGTTGAACTTCTGGAATAATCTACTTCTCAGACTCTTCTTTGGAGCATTAGTTATTGATAACAGTTTGATGACAGAAAAGGAGAAATCTGACGGAACTTCTCCTGAGTTGGCCTTCATGAAACAGAATTTTATGAAAGCTGGATGGGAGTGCTGAATTATTTAACCGGACAGATGCTAACCACCATTCCAGGAGTTCCGTTCCCATTGGAAAACAAGTGCACGACCTCTTCTGTGTCATTTTCCCATCCATTTTTTACTTTGTAGCACAAATGACTTATAAAAATAATCTGCTTTAAAATTCTACCTCTGGTTTACTTGTTGGGTCTATGGTAAGAAAGTATCCTTGCTTCCTCTTAACAAAGGCGTCTGTCTGGTGCTGGCGTCTGGTGACGGGGGCGTCTGTCTGGTGCTGGCGGAGTGAAGCGGAGAGAAACCAGCAAGCTGCCCCAGACGTGCTCCTCCGGGCCAGGCCAGCGCGCAGGCCGAGTGTCCGGCCTTGGGGCCCCCTGTGCCCTGCAGTCCGTTAAAGCTAAAGATCTAGGATTAAGAATCTTAACGTTTTATTTCCAAAACCAGCCTGTTTGAAGGAAGAAACAACAAGGGGAACCTAATACACGTTCTAAAGTGGCTCCTAAGGAAGTGAGGTCTAAGGCCAAATAATTTCGCCCATGAAATGTTTTTTTCCTTGCAGATTTTACCAGAATCAAGCTTCTTGCCAATGGATCACTGTGAGACTGCTGCTGTATCATCTTCTTTTTCAGGAATTTAAGATTTTAAAGCAGCTAATAGATCGGGAAAAACAAACTACGAATTCTAGTTGTTTAGGGATAACAGATGATTATTTTAAAAATACACTATTTTTAATCTAATTTTTACAAACTCTTTTATACTCTAAGGTAAATTATAGAGTTTGTTAATTTCGCATGCCACATTTATGTGTAGGCAAAGGCCATATTAGAAATCATATAAAATATAAATAAAGCTTTCTTTGAGTAGAACAAATGTTAAATGCAATAATTGTAAGACGTTTGAATTCATGTTATGACTCCATTTAAAGAAGGTTATGTTATCAGAAATGTTTGTTTCATATCCAAGGTCAGTTTTACATGGTCTCCTTTGATAATTAACAATAAATCACAATATGCAATTTGTGAAATAAAAATGGTCGTTAAAATGACAATATCTACTCCATTAAGGTACATAAAATGCTGTGCATATCCCTGAGCGATGCTCCTCAGGGGGAGAGACGCCATATCCCCGCTCTACAGATCGGTCCGCTTCTGATTTTGCAGGCTGATGGTCGCTGTGCCTCGCACCGAATCTTTTCCCTGGAAATGGAATGATTGCATGACAGACCCTATGAACCATGACTATGTCCACAACTCATGGACCAGGCCTTGCTTAGCCATTAGTCTTTGGGGCATTTTATTCAGAAATCAGACCACACTATGCCTGAGCTTGTTGGGGATTTTGTGATTACCATTCATGTCTGCAGCATGAGCCTGGGTTAGTACAAAAGAAAAAAAAATCCATAAAGGAAGAAGAGATGTGGCTAATTGTGGCAATCTGTCACGCACCCGCACTGTCAACTGGGAGGGCCGATGAAACTCGGGAAGCGGCAAAAACACCTCGGAGGCCGCAAGGAAGTATTTCGTAGACCCCTATTTAAAGTCTCCTTTTACTCTCCTGCAAATGGACCCGTGTTTCCCAGACTAGCCATTGGCATGTCACTCTCACATTTTTGTCATGACTTTTACCACCAGCAGTACAAGGTACTCAGTGAATTTTATTCACTAACTCACTTTAAAAGGTTTTCTTTGTTTTAAGCTGCAGTATTCGTGATATCATGGGCTTCTTGCGCTAGTTAAATAGTTAAAATGAATGACTGCATGACAGACCCTATGAACCATGACTATGTCAACAACTCATGGACCAGGCCTTGCTTAGCCATTAGTCTTTGGGGCATTTTAAGTTTGTTAAATTTGTTTTCTTCTCTTACAAAGGAAAAGAAATACAGTATTTTAAATATTGAAAATATTTGCATGTTACCTAACATCATTCTGAACATCCCTGGGGCATGGGTGACAGGCCTCATGGGAGCTGCGGGCCCTCCCGGCTCGGCTGAGAATGGTCTGGGCAGCCAGGTGACCTCAGGTCTCGGGGCCGACACCCCATCACCATCCCTCCTTCAAGGGGCCACCATCCTTCACATGGAGGAGAAGGAAACCGCGTGGGAAAGCTGATCGTAGGAGGCTGCCGAGTGAGCCAGGCCATTCCATCAGCAGAATCTGGCCACGCACATCTTTCCTTTTTTGACTGGCCATGTCACTTGAGGATCATTATAGTCAACACCCCGTATCATGTAACCGTGTAGGGAACATGCCAGTGTGGGGCCTGGGCCTTTCAAGGCCAGTAAGACTTTCAAGGCCTATTCCATTAGTAGCTTAGCACTGGGCGTCCCACCAGTGAAGATCTTACAGGCTTTCCACAGTAACTGAAGAAAGGGGTCATTTTACAAGCTTCATTAATGCTGAGCCCGGCTTAACCAGGCCGAATGAGCATTTTCACCAGGCTAAGAAGTCCTAGGAGCCCTCATGGCTCTACAGTCATGGCCTGGTTTATAAATAAATGATGTTCTTTGGAAATTTAAGAGCTGCCCGCCCCCCACCCCCCCACCACCAAATAAAACAGAAAGAAGGAAAAAAAGAAAAAAGTGCCAAGTCTTCCCACTGTGAGGAGCTGGCACCGTCCACCAGGTTGGAAAGGGCCGAGGGGCAGAAATCAACATCAGACCTCAGGTAGCTGTCGGGTTCAGGGTGTGTCTAGGTTTGAAGGGATGTTTGCTTCTGATATGAACATTTTTCTTATACTTTTATTATAGAAGATGATGTGTCAAATGTACAAATAATGTGCGCCTGGTGCCAGAAAGTGGGGATCAAGCGCTATTCCCTGAGTATGGGAAGTGAGGTGAAAAGCTTCTGCAGCGAGAAGTGCTTTGCGGCCTGCCGGCGAGCCTACTTCAAGAGAAACAAGGTAAGAGCGTGTAGAGAGGGGCGGCCCGAGGGCCAGGCCACGTGCGCATGCGCCCCCCTAGCCTCTAGCCCAGAGCCCTGTGCACCCTCCCACTCATCCTCTCTGTTCTGTCCTCTGCTGTCACACTGAACCTCTGGTGTCAGGGATCCCCTTCTACCCTGGGACCTGCTCCTCAGTTTCTCTTTGTCTTGGTGTTCGAATTCTGAGAGGGTGAATGAATCTGGTGAGGACATGGCGACCGCAGCTGGTATCCTAACTGGCAGGGTCTGTCCAGCTGAAGAATGCATAGACTAGAGTCCATGAAAAATAAGTGGAAGAGATTTCTTATAAAGGCTGAGAAGCTAGTTGCAGAAGCATGGCCAGAAAGCTTTAGTCCACTCAGTTTAACACCTGTTCCTCAGGGGAACATTGCTCTGGCTCTTTCCATATTCTGACCCACACATTCTAATTGAGAAAAATGTCAAGTCTCTCTTGACACCTTGTAGTAAAGTTAATTGGCATTGGGAAGAGGTGAAATAATGAGCGCACGAACCAGCGTTGCTCACAGAGCCGACCGTCTGTGTTGGAACACGGAACAGCCGTAGTTACAGTTCTGTTTTGCTGCATTTTTTTTTTTTTAAAGACATCTCAGATCTGGAAGTGTCCTTTTAGAAAAGTGTTAGCCACTGTTGATGAGAAATGGCAAACACGATGTTTTTACAGGCAAACACACACATACCCACACAGCTAATTTCTTAATCTTTAAAGAACCGCTGAAGCATTTTGCCACCAATTACCGAAGCAAGTGGCTAGTTCATGGTAATTTTCCATTGATCTGTAAAGCCTCCTTAATTCACAAAATTGTCCACATCTTGCTAAGCATTTCCATTTCCATAGTACAAGATCAAAATCTGTCTCTTCTTGAAGCAAACAATTGTTATTATTTTCTAAGTCTGATGTCTTCGATCCTGAAATGCTCATCTTGGGCTCAGCGCGTCGCAACTGCACCTTTGCAGCAAATTATCTCCTGCAAACTTGGGTCACGTAATTCTGCCAAAAAACATAAGGCCGAAAGCATTAGGCTGCAGGGGTCCGCGGGGTGGAATTTTAGTGGCAGTGTCTAAGAAACCCGCCCACAGTCTTCATGGAAACAGGGAGGCAAGCAAGGAAATCACTTGGAATTCTCGGGGACAGTCCACAGCTGAGCAACCTTTCTCCCGGGGGGAGCTTCCCAGGAGGGTGGTTAGAGCGATGCATGGGAGATGCATTTTTGTTTGACTCTAGGGGGATTAAGATGATCTCTGAGCCCCCGGGGCTCCCGTTTTGAATGCTGAGCACTGAGGTAGGAGTCATAGAAGTGGACCCATGGCTTTCATCTTCAAAGCCCTACTTACCACAACAAAATACTTTGCATTCCATCCCAGAAGATGACTAGGAAACAGGGGTTTTTGTCTTTCTATGATTCTGAAGGATTAGGGTCTGAACCTTGATAGACTGCCGGTAGTGAATAAAAATCAAGCAAGAATTTGTCACAATGCTGGTGATACGTGTTATACTTTGCAAAGTGAGTTTACTTTAGTAAGCCTTTGAAACGGCCCAGTGTACCCTATATATGGTAAAATATATGCCACGTATATAAAATAACACCACATATATAAATTTACATCATTATAAATAATATGTAATATTACATCATTATAAAGTTTAAGGTCAAACTGAATTTAACTTTCCGCAGCATACAGTTTGAAAAATGGATAACTGGGGGGCCAAGATGAGAATTAGTATTTGCCATTCGTATAGTCGGTAAAGTCAGAAGTGGGAGGAGGACCCGTTCACTGCCTGGAAGGAATTCGCGGGGCAGGTCTTTGAACATCCCCCAAAACCTGGGAGTCGTAGTGACTTGAGGTTTAGCCAGTGACCTTGACGGCTGATCCCAGCGGCCCGTTAGTGTGCACGCAGTACCTGGCTTCTCTGCCAGCTTCAGGCTTATTTATGTATTCCTGCATATTCCAAGGCTCCGCCACACCATGCCTCCTCATTTTTCAAGCAGAGAAATAAACTGGTCACATCGCTTGCTGGATTCTTTTTTATTTTTTAATTTTAAGAGCGTTATCTCTGCAACAGTATCCTATTGTATTACAATAAACATGTACAGCTGCTGCGTTTCTGTTAACTGATAGGATTTTGTGGTCATTTCGTTTAGGGCTTGAGTTTCCTAATGGATTGTGTTAGATACCAGCCTCCATCCTGCCATTTCTAAGAACTGCTGTAATAAGCCCCAGGGTGTTCCCCACCGACAATAGCAAATAGCTCCCTCTCTGGTATCATTTAACAAAGTCTTTAGTCCTCATTGTTAAAATCGTAGACTTTCTCAAACTTAAGGGAAGGGCAGAATTCCTCCCATTCCTATATAAAAGATTTTCTGGCTAAATTCTACACTTCTAAATATTGAGAAGGGGCTGGAAAGCAGAGTGAATAATGTGTGTGCAGAACAGAAATTTGCCTTGGGTATAATGTAGATTTTTAAAAACACGGAAAGTTAGCGATGCTGTACATTATGCTTTATAATGACAATCTGCTTCCTGGTGGATAGCGGCCTGGGATCCAAAAATAGTCTCTAAGTTGAACCCAGATTGCATGCACAATTTTACAAAGAAAAATCCTACTAGAAAAGGTAGCTAATTAGGAGCAGGATTCATCCTCTGCAAATGCTTGGGTAAAGAGACAGGTACCCATTTGCTGCTCAAAACTAGAACAGAAATAGCCCAACTATCAAGATGAAGGCCCCCGGAAAACTGGGGTTTTACATTTCAGTTGCTTCTCGAGCCCTCCTTTCTCCTGGAGCCCCGTGTCTGTGGGACATGTTACGAGTGCCACGTCATCTCTCACGGACCCTGCATCCTGAAGTAAGGTGGGATGGAGTGAAGCCCAGTTAACTGTATATTGGTTACAGTTTAAAACTGAACTGAAAACTGAGAATTTTACTTGAAGAGTTGTTTGGATTGCAGCGAGTATGTAGGCTTTCTGCAAAACTCCTGTGCTGGGAGAGGGCTCTGAGTCACAGCTGTATTCATCAAAGGAACCAGCTACTGGCTTACACATTTCAGCATGCTGGCTCTAAGGGGCGTAGAGTGTTAATTCACAATTTTATTTTGTAGAATCCTTATCCCCAACAGACTCCATTGCTGGCTCCGAAGTTTTTGAAACAGTGGGTAAGAAGCATACTTTTGTGGCCTGCGGGCATTGGCTGAACAACCAAGTGTCAGTCTCATTACTTGATGCCCTAGAGACTTCTCAGGGGCTAAAGCTCACTCTTTGCAGCCCCCTTTGGGGGCCACAAGCTGAGGAAGACTTGAGAACATGTCTAGCCTAGTGATTGGCCTAGGAGACGCAAAGCTGTAGAGACTCCTCAGCGGTTCTGCAAGAGATGCCGGAGTGTTGAGTCTAATATATACAAATTTTACTTGCACAATGACAGACACCTTAAAATATTCTTTTCTAAGGGAGTAATGCTTTATAACCATTATCCCTTTAAAAAAAGGAGTAGCAAACCAGACCACAAATAATAATCATTTCCAATTCTCCTTTTCTGATCCTTTCCCTTCTGCATGGGAAATATCCTGTTGTCTGAATTAATACCCACAAATCAATGAGCAAATCATAACTCGGGATAAATGGCCAATGCAGGCAACATAAAAGATGCTTGTTTTCTTTCCCTGTTCAGATCTCAAATGTATAGTGTTCTTTATGGATTTGTGTTATTGATACTTGAGTAATAGACACAAATTCTGAAGAGCACCAAAGTTTCGCTTCCTTTTTTCAGTTTTTCCATAATTTGAAACAACAAGTGATAGAAATACTTTTTCAGTATCATAATGTTGATGTTCCCCAACAGAGTGGGAAGAACGTAGCGGGAAGAAAGCTCTGTGAATAAGAGATAAATATAAGGATGCCTTAAAAATACAAAAGTTATATAGACAGAACAACATTTGCAAATGATGTCATTAAGATTTCCTAACAATCATAGCAAATGTTCAACAAGGGAACTCTTATATAATCATTTCTTTTACTTGCAAACTATTTCCTTGGAAGAAGACCATTGCTAATTAGCATTACTATTATTTTTTCCTACCTACATCCATACCTATGATAAAGTTCAACTTATAAATTAGGCACAGTAAGAGATTAACAACAATAATTAATAATAAAATAGAACAATTGTAACAATACACTGTAGTGAAAGTTACGTGAATGTGGTGTCCCCCTCTCAAAATAGCTTATGTACTGTCCTCACCCTTCTTGTGATGACGTGGACGATAAAATGCCCACATGATGGGATGGATGGTGAATGAAGAGGGGAATGAGGTAGGTGTGTTGAGCTACTGCTGCCCTTCTGACCACCCATTAGGAGAAGGATCGGTCACAACCATGGTCGGCTGTGGGTAACTGGAACCACAGATAAGGGGGATTATTGTATTGGTCTTTTTATTAAACTTGACTATATCCTGGGAAAGCGTCTCGGTTTCGCACTTAATTGTAGAAACTAGTAGCACAGAAGAAACGTGCAACAAATGCCCTGTTAACCTAATGATAAACCTGTCTACTTTTTTCCTTTTAAACACCTGCATGATTTAATTTCCTAGTGTCTGTCATTCGTGAAGGAAGGTTTGGGGAAGGACATTAAGAAATTATTTGTAATTCGTGTGTGCCGGCCGCCTGAAGCTCGGGTCATGGACTTGCTTTTTGCTAGTTAGTCGCAAATATTCTTGACTGACCAGTAAGTGCACCCAGGGAGCACTAGAGTTCTTCCTGCGGCGTCGCCTTGTTTGGAGGGGACACCAGTGGGCCTTTGGGGTCTGTCTGCCCACACCCGGGCCCGCAGGGTGACAGCCTGGCCCTGCAGTATCTGCTGGAACCGCTGCAAGGCTGCCCGCTGCCTGCGTGTCCAGCGGCCTCCACCTGAGGGGCTGTGAGCTGCAGGCCCACGGCGGTTTCCCTGTCACGGTGCTCAGGAAGCTCTG